CAGGAGTTGGAGATTGCTGTGAGCTGTGATGCCACGGCACTCTACCCAGGGGGACAGCTTGAGGCTCTGTCTCAAAAAAAAAAAAAAAGAAAAAAGAGGGAAAACTGTTGAGTGTTCAGTAAATATTTAATTAAACTGTACTAAAAACAAACCAGTAGAGTCATAAAAACCAAGTAAGAGAAAACATTACGGAAAAAAATGATCAAAAACATTATGCCACTGAAAAGTGAAATAGTGTAACGGCCAGGTAGAAAAACTTTGAATTAGATTCCCATTGGAAGGCTGAGCTGAAATTATCATACTGCATATTTATTTTAAAAAAATGAACACACATCATGAATCCTACGTAGACATGTGGAGAGGTTAGCAACAAACTGTGTTTCCTCTTACACTTCCTCTGTCTCAGATAGTGGCTATTTTAAGCCTGCCTACTTAAAACAAGTAAAGCTCTACGCTAAAGTCAAATGAAAATTATTTAAAAACTCATCTAATTTAACAACTTTGAAACTTTCTTATTTGTTAATATTTCACTGAAAATTAGCAATATCATAAATAACAGAAAGTTAAAGAATAAAGAATGTCATAGAAACCCATAGTTCTAAGATATTAAATTTTATATTGTAAGAAACTTATTTAAAGTCAAATGGCCAAGACATATCTGAAAAGATACTCAACTGTAATAATACTCGGGGTAATAAATTTCACACCCATGGTTAGGCAAAGAGAAAATAGGGATTATCTTGGGTTGCTTACGGAAGTGGGAATTGGTATAAACACTTTGAGGAGTACAAGGTTTAATACCTGATAAAGTTAAAATTGAATATACTCTATGGCCCAGCAATTTCATTTATATATTGTGGAAACTCATGCTCAGGAACACAGGATGCATGTGCCTCATTACTTATTACAGTATTATTTATAATAGCAACAATCTTATCAACATGTCAATGAAAGGGCTGGGCCCAGTGGCTCACAGCTGTAATCCTAGCACTCTGGGAGGCTGAGGCAGAGAGATTGCCTGAGCTCACCAGCTTGAGACCAGCTTGAGCAAGACAGAGACTCTGTCTCTAAAAACTAGCCAAGTGTTGTGGTGGGTGCCTATAGCCCCAGCTACTGGGGAGACTGAGGGAAGAGGATCACTTAAGCCCAAAAGTTGAAGGTTGCTGTGAGCTATGATTTTACAGCACTCTACCCAGAACAACAAACTGTCAAAAAAAAAAAAATGTCAATGAAGAAAAGGTTTGCTATATTTTAGTAGGGAAATATCACTGTGGATAGGTTACACACATAATAATAAATGAAAAAATAATTGGAGCATACAAGTTATAATATCATCTACAAAAATTTGAAAAGTCACTAATATTGTATATCATATACTGATGCGCTACTTACTGTTTGACAGACTGGATTCACGCTGACTGGTGATAATGTTTGGTTCTAAACACAGGAACATTGGGAACTTAGTTTCATCTGCAATATTTTATTTCTTTTAAAAACTTGTATCTGAAGTCAATATAACTTTGTGGTGGTTTATGGTTGTTATGGTACACTTGGTACTTTTGTGTTCTTTTAATTTTAATTTAGCTGGATGAAATTAAGATTTAAGGCAATAAAAATCACAGGAGACAGGACAACTTTTAAGTAATAAAAAATATTTATGCTGGTGAAAAATAGTCTGTGTTTTTCCTTTTCAGGAAAATAAACCGGAAGATCTGTGGGTTGAAGAAAGATTTAAAGCACACGTTGCACGGGTTCGAGATGTAGAACTTCTTACGGGGCTTGACTTTTACCAAGAAAAATTACAGCCTGTTTCTGAGATTTTGCAACTAAAGACATATTTACCCACATTTGAAACCGTTATTTAAAAAAAAAAAAATAGTGACTAATTCTCGCATAAATTGGATTTAATTTTGACCAAAGTACATTACTTGAACATGAATTTTCAATTCAACTTCTTAATATATTGTTTAGGATATTGCATCCTCATTTATAAGTGAAATATGTTTATAATTTCCCTTTATAATTTTTCCAATTTTAATATCAGGTGTATCCAGATGAAGTAGAATGATTTTGAAGTATTCTTCTTTTTCTATTGTCTATAAGATTTGGCATGATCTTTTTTTTGGAATTATCTTTTATTTTTATTTATAAATATTAGTTGTCTATTTTTTGAGAGCTTTGAAAAAAATAAGAAGAACAAGTTAAGTGATGACTCCATACTGAACCTCAGAGTCAAAGCATTCTATGACAGACATACTCTTATCTGACAATGTGAATGTTACTTTTTTTGCACTATTATTATTATTATTGCTCAATATTTCATTGCAGCAATGATCTGATTTCCTCTCTGAATGTATTTATCTTCGTTTGTTCTTTATGAGGTTTTTGTCTCTAGTCTTTATCTTAAACATTGTTATTGTTATTAAATTGTAGCTCTTTTTAATTTTGGGAAGGCTAAAAGTGGAAACCAAATAAACACAAGTATATGTATAGAGAAAAAAATAAAAAAGAAGACACGGGCCAGACCCCAAAGGGCATTTGCTTTCATTACAGAAAACAAACGAGACCCCCAAAAGCCCGGGAGCTTACATCGATCGGCAGCAATTCCAAGACTCCCTGAATAAATAACATATGAATAATTGCAAAAAAAGAGAAACCATTATTTAAAATAATAGTGTATAATTAATGTATAAAGCAATTATTCAAAATGTTAATGATCTAGTGATTTTTTTTCCTGGAGAATTATAAAATAAAATTTTTTATTTTCCTTTAAGTTGACATAAAGCCTTTTGCATTTTCCTTTTCTCTTTTCCATTTCTCTGAATATGTATTAAAGGTTTTTTTTTTTGCACAGAGCATATGGATTATGTACCATATTATCTTATACTGTTTTTATTCTTTTTCTTTCTTTGTTTTTTTGAACTGTAATCCCACAATAGATTATACCTTCCTTATTACATTATCCTATTCATAATTTCCAGCTATATTTTTCTGCCCAGAATTTATCTAAACAAAAGGGAGAACAAGAGAAGTGGGTATCACTTTGGAATTGAATCAACTCTACATTAGTTTTGTCATAAAACTTTTTACATGGCTTGGCGCCTGTGGCTCAAGCAGCTAAGGCACCAGCCACATACACCTGAGCTGGTGGGTTCGAATCCAGCTGGGGCTCACCAAACAACAATGATGGCTGTAACCAAAAAAATAGCCGGGCGTTGTGGTGGGTACCTATAGTCCCAGCTACTCAGGAGGCTGAGGCAAGAGAAGTGCCTAAGCCCAAGAGCTAGAGGTTGCTGTGAGCTGTGATGCTACAGCACTCAACTACAGAGGGCAATAAAGAGAGACTCTGTTTTAAAAAAAAAAAAGTCATGAGTTCAATTACCAGTCAATACCACATGGATTTTTTTTCACTCTTTCCCATTTCGTAATTATATTTCCCTTCTCCAGTAGAGAGAAATTTGGTTCCCAACATCATAAATAATTTACTCATCTTTTCAGTCAGTCCTACAATACACAGAGAAGGAATTGCTAACCGATACCACCTAGAAAAACAAATCTACTAAGTAGTTAGAATACTGTTCCAAAGGGCTTGTTTTCCTGCTATGACATAGTTACATTGTTCATCTGAAATGGAGGACTGTTCATTTGTTTCTGTTTATATTCCATTAAAGGATTTCCCCATTCTTGTTGAATTAAGTTTATTTTTTGCGTATGTAAAATATTAACATGGGTCTAAAAGCCAAAATCAGGTGAAAAGGGACACTCAGAAATTTCCTCCCTCCCCTCTTTCAGTCCTTTCCCATCTACCCTGGGCCATTTCATTTGTTTCTCATTTATCATTTTGCAAAAAATAAGCAGATTTCCATTTTTCTTATTTTCCTTTTTACACACACAATATGTGTGCATATATATATTATAAACACACACACACATATATATTCATTTTGTACCTTCTTAAAAACCTTGACAACACATCTTGGAAATATCTCTCTCTCTCTCTCTCTCTCTCTCTATATATATATATATATATATACATATGGGTCTTTCTCATCCTATTTTATTGCTGCATGGTATCCTATTGTGAGATGCACTATAGTTTATTAAATTAATCTCCTATGTAAAGACCTTTAAATTGTTTCCAACATTTTAAAATTACAAATACACAGAAATGTTATGCATATGCAATTTTGTGTTATTGGAAGTATATCTTCTGGGAAAATTCCTAAAAGTGGGTAAAACACACCTAGAAGTTTTATTTTTTGACAATAAAGTGCTATCTTGCTACAACTTTAATTCTTTAATTGATGTATTCAACACCTGAATTCACTGAGATGTAGATTTCCCCCACCCACGAAAAAATAAATTTTTTCCTAACTATAAAAGTAACATATATTCATTGTAAGACTATATATTACATAATATCTTAATATAGCATATTAGGATATCATGGACTTATAGATACCAATATTAAAACCACACATAATGCCCAATGATTACAATGATTAAACCCTACTAACCCATGATTCCCAAGCATATTTCTCCTTTAAAACATAGTGTTTAAATATGGGATTTTTAGGCTCAGTGCCTGTAGCTCAGCGGCTAGGGTGCCAGCCACATATACCGGAGCTGGTGGGTTTGAATACAGCCCAGACCTGCCAAATAACAATGACAACAACAATCAAAAAATACCCAGGTGTGTGGTGGGCCTGTGTAGTCCTAGCTCCTTGGGAGGCTGAGGCAAGAGAATCACTTAAGCCTGAGAGTTTGAGGTTGCTGTGAGCTATGATGCTATGGCACCCTACTGAGGGCAACATAGTGAGACTAAAAGAAAATATATACATATATGGGATTTGGGGAAATGTCAATTCATGTCACTTTGGTTCAGATTCAAATGTTTTTTTCCTTAAAGGAATTTCAAATTTTTTAGGAAAATACTTGTGTTTTGGGGATTTAGAACATTTTTTTCCCAGCAGAAATTATAACTTATTGGAGCAATAGGAAATGATTGCTTGACATTTCAATAAATGCCTTGTTTTTTTATATATTAATATCCAAGACTCGTGTAGCTGAGAATTAGTGCAGAATCATGCAGGTGTCATGTGGCATCCATGACAATCATCACCCCAGCCTTCTCAATTTTCAATTTTTAGGTGACAGAACTATTCGAGGCAGCATAATTCCCTTTCTTTTTTATTCTTCTGACATTGAAATATGTAATCAACCACATTTTTGACATGTGTTTTTTATATAGATGAGCATGAAATACAACAGACTTGCTTGCTTTGGAGTAGAGGGGACTGCTTATTACTGCTGTTTTCAGTTGTGTCTATATTGAGGGACAGGCCTATAATCCTAGCACTCTGGGAGGAAGAAGCAGGAGAATTCCTTAAGCTCAGGAGTTTGAGACCAGCCTGAGCACAAGTGGAACCCCATCACTACTAAAATAGAAGAAATGAGCTGGCCATTGTGGCCGATGCACATAGTGCCAGCTACTGGGGACAATGAGGCAGAAATGTCTCTTGAACTCAGGAGTTCAAAGTTGTTGTAAGCTAGCTGACACCATGGACTCTAGCCTGGGCAACAGAGTGCGATGAGACTCTGTCTCAAAAAAAAAAAAGGGTGTGTGTGTGTGGATATTTTTGTGATTTTCAGTGTAACTGAATTAAGGAATACAGTTAATTCTTGTTTGAAGAAAGGGGAATTTCTTCCCTAAGTTAGGTCAGCTAAGGTCTTGAGAGCAGACTTGGAAAGAAGTGAAACTCTAAACATTAGCTTATTTTCCAGATTTAGTTAAAATGTGTTTTCTTAACACACTGTTCCCCCATTTTTAAAAAAACTTTCAGGGGTATTGAGTTACCATAGTTGGAATTAAAAAGGCTCAGGGTCTGTTCTTCTAGAAAGTATCAGAAACAAATGAGTTTTCTGGGGCAGCGGAACCTACTTTTTCTATCATTAGGTGGGGCCGGGGGAATGGGATGAAGAGGTGCACCTCTTGATGGGCCCAGGGTTCTTCTTTAGCCACTCATTTAGCTGGAATTCCATGCAAGAACGCCCATCAGTGTTTGATCCTTTTGGAACCAGCTAATGGAGTTTCTAGGAGTCTGTGTTTATGCTTATATATTGGGCTGATCTTAATGTAAACTCCATCTGGTTTTGGTGTTTCAGTTTATTTCCAAATTACATTGGGTTCTTTGAAAATCTTCCTGCCCCAGGGAAATCTCTTTCCTTCCTCCACCTCCACCCCTGCACCCTCACTACTCCCACCATCACCACTTGTCAGTTGTTTACTTTGGGAGGTCTGGGCATGGGAATGGAAACAGGACATAAACTGAAGCCATTTTCAAAAACACAAACAAGGCTGTTGGATGAAATGACTTCCTTTCTACACAGCATCCCTGGCAGACCACAATCACTCCCTCAATCAGTGGGCTCACACTTGAACAAATTTCCAGACAGGAACAAACCTCAGCCTCCCAATGACAGAGAATCTGGGCAGTTAAGATTCATCCCAAACCCACAGGATAGACATAGCTGGATAACAACTAGTAAAGTACAACCCCAGACTTAGAGCTAGGTTGGTTCTGTTATCCAACATCTTATGTTAATTAATGTGTGAAGAGTCACAGGGCTAGGAGAAGAGAGGCCAGCTAGCCTACCTCTCAAGGCTTATTCCATGAACACATAACATTCTGTTTGCATGTTAATAATGTCAATCTCCAAGGTGCTGACAAAGACTTTACACTAGTTTTTCATATTTCTTGAAATTAAGAAAATTTGTAATATAGTACAGTGACTTTTTCCTGTGTTGTCTACTTAATGTGATACCTAAAAAGTTTTCTAGTAATAATAGTGTTTGGTAAAAGCATGGGTTCCTAAGTTACAGACCCCAGGGCTTAAATCCTGCCTT